TCCTGAAAATGGAATGTTTTGCATGAGTGTGTCTGATATGTAATAATAACATGCTTGAGGAAGGAAAAAGTAGAGTAGGGAAAATATGACTCCCATCGGGTGCACTTGTGTCCTACATAAACTCAACTATTTCATCAAAAATGGGTTTGTGTTCCAGTTCATTTTCTCAGTAGCCTTTACAAAGTAAGCCAAGTCGTCTACCAGTTACTGCAGATGTTTAGAGGTGAAAATTGTCTTCTGAAAAACTGATATAAATCATTTATCATAGTCTGACATTATCCACTTGTATCAAGGTTCATTCATCAAAACAATTGCCGAAAGAGCTTAAGATCAAAGAGACTGTCACAAAATAAGCAATATAAACCTACGTATTTATAAGACCTAGGGACAGTAAGCACTGCATCCAACCACTCAATCTTTCCCCCTATCATTTCACTATTTCGATTTATCAAGAGCAATCTCTGCACACCACATCATCTTCTCCGTAGGCACATACTTGTCCCACAGAATCACCATCGTAAACCACCAATTTAACAGCGCTATAATTGGCAAACTTAGGTACTCCTTTCAAAACCTTTACTTTCTTCCAATCCATCTCCTCTTACATTAGCATCATACCAAAATTCACGGATACTGTACGTGCTTTTTTTTTTCGCGTGAGCCGATTGTTCCAAATGAAGATGGGTTTTAGAAATCAAATCTAAGTTATTACGGTTCGATCGCTTTTAGTCTGGTTTGTTATACCGGTCAACCAAACCGAATCGCAAATGACAAAAAGGAAATTCATATAATGGACCTTCTGAGTGAAACAGAGGGATTCAAGGCTTTCATGCGGGTGGCTCTAATGGAGGTGGAGCCTGTGGAGTGACTTTGGGGCGACTCAACAAGGTTCGGTTTCTATTCATGTGGAGAGGTTCGTTCCCAGGTTCGACAGATAGAGAAAAGGGAAAACTCCTTTAATGGCATTATTATCATCGAAGAGACTCCGTTCCTTTGCGATCCTCTTCTTGTGCATCTCTCTGCTGCTCGACAAGGCCGTATCCATCAGAATATCGAATCAGATCTCAGATCCCGTCGTCGTTGATTCCCCGGATCGTCCCTTGAAATCGGCGGTTTTCTCTCTCGGGAGCTTCTGGCGATCGGAGGCGGCGTTCGGATGTATCAACGGCGTCGTACGAACAACGGCCGGTTACTCAGGCGGAACGAAGACGAATCCCGAGTATAGGAAGCTTGGTGATCACGCCGAGTCTGTTCAGGTTCCTTCTCCTTTTATCAGCTAGGTTTTGATAATATATGTGTGTGTGTGCACAAGAAGATTTCTTAATATACGTTTTAATGAGACTCATCAGGTTGAATATGATCCAAGGATAGTTGGTTATCGTCAGCTCTTAGATGTATTCTGGTCTAGTCATGATTCCAGACAAGTTTTTGGACAAGGCCCTGATGTCGGTAATCAATACAGGTCTGAATAATAACAAGGCAATTACAATCTTTGAGTTATCTGAATCTTTTCTTGTTTATTACCAAAATAAAAAACTAAAAAGATCCGAATCATTTTTGAACAGATCCTTGATTTTCACTAACTCTACGGAAGAGTTGAGGTTGGCTACTATTAGCAAAGAAAGAGAGCAGCTTAAATCAAGAAGCAGTATCGTCACTACTCAAATCCAACAGCTTGCAACCTTTTATCGCGCAGAGCCTGACCATCAGGTCTTCATCTTTTTTACATTTTCTTTAACAACAACTCGTTCAGCTGTTTGTTAATCCTTTGATTTTGCTTTGACTTTGAATTTTTGCAGAAGTTTGAGCTGAAACAGCATCCCTTCCTTCTTCAGCTAATTGGTAACATGGCAGATGAAGAGCTCGAGAGATCAGCTCTAGCCACAAAGCTTAACGGTTATGCAGCAGAGCTCTGCCCACCTAGAGTCCAGAAACAAATTGACTCCAGAGTAAACGAGATTATTAGAAAAGGTTGGCCCGTCTTGAAAGACATTTAATATATATTGTGTCCACCTGATTCTCCTCGTCTTGGTTTCGATTGATCATATCTCAAATGTAAGTTTTTGTTTATTCTTTTGGCCAGGAATTTTTGGTTGTGTACTTATTGCTGCAATGTTTGTATGTTTTCTCTTTGTTATCACTCGCATAGAATAAGGTTCTTTTTGTTTCCCAGTATTATTTGGACTTTCATCTATTTATCTTATTAAAACTGAAATATTATTTGATGTCATTTACAAATTATTCTATCAATAATTAATAAAAAGTTATCGCACATTTTTAGCAATTGAATCATTAATTTTTGTATTATTGTTTAATAAATATAAGAGAGACTAACTGAAATACTATGGATACCACTTTTACAATTGAACCATTTACGAATCCGTTAGATTTGCTTCACAGTTTGCGATAGGGCTGGGACTTAATATCCGCTATCCGCTATCCGATCCGGGATCCGATCCGATCCGCTCCGCTCCGAAAAAACGGATATCCGGGGGGTCCGGATCCGGATCCGGATAGTGATTTCACGGATCCGGCGAATCCGGATCCGAATCCAGATAGTGAAATTTTCGGTCCGGATATCCGGATCCGGATCCCGGCCCACTAAATATTTTTAAAAATATTTAAAATATAATTATATTTATATAGTATATTATATATTTTTATTAAATATAACTAATACTTAATTTTTTTAATAATTTCTATTATTTTAATTTAACTTTTTTTCCAAAATAATATTTTTAATAGAATAAATAAATACTAAACTTTTAATTTTAATGTTTTTTATTTTTTTTTTTAAATAAATCGGATCCGGATATCCGCGGGTATCTGAGTTTTAGTCCGGATATCCGGGGTCCGGATATCCGGATGGCCCGGATCCGAATCCGGATAGTAATTTTACGGATCCGCCGAATCCGGATCCGGATCCGGATATCTTAAAATACCCCGGATATCCGATCCGTCCCACCCCTACTTGCGACATCCACCATTTATAAATTTGGAAAATGTCAAAACCAATCAAGAACAACTTCAAAATCGAGGCTATTTATGCAACAGAAAACACACTCGAACACACAATGAAATATTTACTCTAGAAGACAAAAGTTGAAAACAAAGTTGAGTTTTCAATTTCTTTAATAGATACATGTATAAGACACTTTATCTTAACAATTGACCAAAATAACTTTTAACTAATGGGATAGTTTCTTTTTTATTTTCGTTAGCCTTTCTAAACACAATCTGCAATTGTCAAGAGCACTTATTTTCTACATCTCTATTTATTCTCTGTTAACCACATTAAGAACAAAAATCCTAAAAAGCTCAAAAGAAAAACAAATCACATCTTTGAAAGTTTAGTGGTTTCTTCTCTTTTTTAGCGATCTACAAAATTGTCTCTTTTTCAATGCCGTCATTCTCCGACTAGAAAAGGCGACACTCACCACCTTGTTTCTCTCACATCCACCTCTTATGGCTTTCTCCTCCTTATCAAATCCCAAAACTCCTCAGATCAAATGACACTTCCTGATATCTCAATCTCTTGTCAGATCTATCTTTATTTCTTGACAACTCTATTCTCTGATTCTCAACAAAAATTATTGGGAGATATGAAGAAAAGTTGCAGCTTAAATGTTCGTTGAAATGTCTACGTATGAAATTGATATGTTTTAAAATAATAGTGGAGGTGACTACTTGAGAGGAAGAGCTGGCGGTGGATACTATTGAAGTGAAAGACGTGAGGGTGGAGTTGTAAGGTGGTGGTTGTGGTCAAGGCGGTTGTGGTCAAGGCGGTTGTGGACAAGGTAGTGATGGTTGTTGACATGGTGGTTGTGGTTGTAGATAAGATAGTGATGTTGTGGACGAGACAGTGGTGGATACGAACGTGAAAGAAGTAAGGATAGTTACAGAGATAAATTGGCTATCCATATAGATGTTGTTTATGGCTTTTATGTCAACCATTCTCCCATCTAGAGATAAAGGTCAGTTTCTTGTGAATTTGTGTGTTATATTGGTTGATTTTACTGAACTATTTTCTGTAAAATCTCTTTTAGTGATCAAATTTATAATCAGCATAGTAATAGAGTTTTAGATACATCTCATAGTTATCTGCAACAAAGAGTTTAATATCTCCTGAAAATGGTAGTAAACCGCTAGTTGCATCTACCATCTAACGTTAATTATAAAAAAATTATCTACAATTTTACAATTCACAATGCATATGTCCATACTTAATTCGTACACAACAAATTTGTCCACAATCTCCTATCCAAAAGCATATTTGTCCACAAACTTCTATCCACTACTCTAGAATCCACGACATATTTGTGAATAGCTACTTCTATATCCACTACTCTAGTGTTCACGAGAGGAAGATTTCTTCTTAATTGTACCAGTTATCAAAACATCTCGTACAAGGAGGTAACTTCCCCCAGCCGTTAGATATTTTCCTTCAAATCAGATCCAACGTCCCAAAACTTTTCCCTCTCTCCTATATACCTATCTATTTTTCTTTACATGTTTTTCATTTATTGTAACTCAACTTAATTCTAATTTCTTCTAGTTAGATTAACTATCAACAACAACTTGTTTCTTTAGCTGTAATTGGAAATTTTCATTTTCTTTCAGGGTAATTTTGATTCGAAAATAGACCGTTGTTACCAATATTGTGTGCCATCCACCAGATTTGTCTTTTAGTGAGTAAGTGTGTCTCTAACGTAAGTATCTCACACAATTCACAAAACTGTTATTTAGACAAAGATCGCCAACGTGGATTAAATCTTTATAATACTAAAACCAAGAAATATCTACACACCACCAGTACAGTAGTAAGTGTGTTTTCTCCTACAACACATTAAATATGCCACGTGTATAATCCAGATTCATCACAGTACACGTAAGTGATCCTTCAGCAAAACTCAAAACCAAGCATACAGGTACACGTGTACATTTCTCGGTGCTATATATACTGCTGCTAGTGCTGAAAAAGCAACAGATAAGCACAAACATAACAATCCTCTTCCTTTTGTCTAAAAAAAAAAATCATTTGTCTTGTTACGCAAGTGTGTTCCTCTAATGGCGAAAGAGAAAACAGAATCTCCGACGGTGAAGAAGACTTCTATGGCGTCAAAAGAGAAGCCAAAGAAGCTTAAAAAACCCAAAACCACCACCACCCATCCTCCATATTTTCAGGTAAAAGAAGAAGATATTTTTATTTTCTTTTTTATTTGAAAATGTAATTTTTGTTTCTAACATGGTTCTACCTCTGTTTTTTTTGGATGAAGATGATAAAAGAGGCTTTGATGAATTTAAAAGAGAAGAACGGGTCAAGCCCTTACGCAATAGCAAAGCAGATAGAGGAGAAATACAAACCTGTACTCCCCGAGAATTTCCGTAAAACACTTTCTCTGCAGCTTAAAAACTCTGTCGCTAAAGGTAAGCTCGTGAAGATCAGAGCCTCATACAAGCTCTCAGAGACCACCACCAGGACAACAAGGCAGCAACAGCAGAAGAAGAAGATGGAGACTCGGTCGAAGAAGACTGTGAACAAGCCAGAAATGGTGACGAAGAAGAAGAGGAAAGCAAAGAAGCCAAGACAGGTTAAGTCGATCAAGTCACCAGGTTCTAAGAAGGTCTTGAGAGCTTCCGCCTCTTGATCAACAAGAAAGACGAAGAGGAGGAGGGTTTTTGAATATGGAGAATAAGGGTTACCTCTCTGTAAAATAGTTGACTCTGTGTTTTGGTATGGTGTGTCTCCTTCTTTAGGGCTTATAAGGGTAAAGAGTCTTGGTATGTATGATAACTTCGTACTTTTCAATATAATATATGCAATAATTCCACATGACCACTTTGGTGCTAGGTTGTTTCTGTAGTTTTCGTCGCCTCTGCTCTCTATGTGCTGCTACGAGGTTCTCTCCAACAATTCAGTCTAGGAGATAACCTCAAGGGGTTTTCAATCTAAAAAAGAGATTCGCGGAAGAAGCTCTCTCTAACCGGCATTATTCTCCGACTGGAGAAAGTTAAAGAATACACAAATTTGGATCAATAAAAGTCGCAAGAAAGATTGTGTATTGGTTGAAAACTTTTTTTTTTTTGTAAAACCGTTAGAAATTCGAAGGATCAAATAAAAAACCTTCATAAATAAACATAGAAGTAAAGAATATATAAGAGAAAATTAATCTAGGAAATCATTTTTCATGCTAGAGTAGAAAGTTAACTTTCATGGGTTTTTCTCTCTCCTTCTCTTTGTTCTCTCATCTCTATTTTTTACAGAGATGAAGTTGAGAAGAGATTAACACAGCAATCCAGAAAGCAATACAACGTTAAGCCTATATAGCCCATAGCACACATATACACCCAAACCCAATAATGGTTAATTTCCAAACTCTTGATGTTCTTTATTTATTTTTTGAGCTATATAGTAATATTTGATATCCACTAGTAATTCATGCACCATCGTTTCTATTTAAAGTAACCTGAATTATCAGAGCATTTAAGCACACATTTCCACAAAGACGACGGATCTCACTTTCCTTAATTAGATTCGATGGTATCCGTCAGATATTACTAAGAGATCATTTTAGCCGTCGATTACATTCTTTTATTTAGAAAGTGGTCTTCCCTTGATTTCGGTTGACGCTTTGACGTTGTTTCAATAAAGTCAAAATAACCGGAAATCGGTGTACATCGCCGGGAAATGTCGTCGGATCTCGTTATTATTCTGATCACCACCGTCACTGCGTTTTTGTCTTATTCGACTAATGCCTTGTTACATTCTGGGAGTGCCTCTCATGGCGTTTCCCCAAGAGACTATTACTTGACTACCGATGAGCATTGGTTTAATCAAACCCTAGATCATTACTCTCCTCACGTAAATTTTCAAATAAGAGTTTCAGATTCATTGCTTTTTTTTTTGTCCAAATTCATCAAGAACATTATTTATTTTTTTCCCACAGGATCATCGCAAATTCAGACAGAGATACTATGAATATCTTGACAACTTCCGAGCCCCAGATGGTCCTGTCTTTATGATAATATGCGGTGAAGGTCCTTGCAGTGGCATAGCTAAAGATTATATGAGTGTAATGATGTTATTTAATTACCTGATGATTCCTTGCGTGACAAGAAATTAAAGATATTGATGTTTTTCATAAATATTTAGGTATTAGCAAAGAAGTTTGAAGCTGGTGTGGTTTCATTAGAACATAGATACTATGGGAAAAGTAATCCTTTTAACTCATTAGCTACGGAGAATCTGAGATACCTTTCATCCAAACAAGCCCTTTTCGATTTGGCTGCTTTCCGTCAACATTACCAGGCAAGGCTTGGTTTCATTTCATTCACGGAATCATATCATTATGTTACAGAATTTTCATTTATAGATTTTGCTAATGCAGGAAGGTTTGAATGTTAAGTTGAATAGAAGTAGTGGTAGTAGCGACAACCCGTGGTTCTTCTTCGGGATTTCTTATCCTGGAGCTTTAAGTGCTTGGTTCCGGCTCAAGTTCCCTCACTTGACCTGTGGAAGCCTTGCTAGTTCTGCAGTTGTTCATGCTGTCTATGACTTCTCTGCATTTGATCAGCAGGTATCATCATCAATAACATAATTTTTTAGTATGAATGGAAGAAGTATAACACTTTTCTTTGTAAGGTTTAAGGCTGTGATGTATGTTGGAATGTTCATATTGGTTTCATCTTTTGTTTCGCTATGAGCAGATTGGTGAATCAGCTGGTCAAGAATGCAAAGATGCACTACAAGAGACTAATAAACTCCTGGAACTAGGGCTTCAAGTAAACAGAAAGGCGGTGAAAGCCCTCTTTAACGCCACCGAGCTTCACGTTGATGCTGATTTCTTATACTTAACGGCTGATGCAGCGGTTATGGCGGTAAGGATTGATTATCCATATTCATTTTTTAATGTTTTTTCCTGTCTTGTGTGATAAGTGATATTTACTGTTCAAAAATCTTGCAGTTCCAATATGGAAATGCAGATAAACTATGTGTCCCGCTTGTTAAAGCAAAGAAGAACGGTTATGATTTAGTGGTAATTAAGCTCACCTTTTCACCGTCTCTCCAGCCTGCAAATCGCATTGGATACGAACATCTTGTATTTACTATAGACTTGGTTATTGGGTTTGCAATGTAGGAAACATATTCTAAATATGTTAGAGACTATTGCATGAAAGATTGGGGCCTACACGTAAGACCATATAACCGGAAACATCTGAGAAACACTGTTATTACCGCCGAGAGTACATATCGGATATGGTGGTACCAAGTTTGCACAGAACTAGCATATTTCCAGGTGGCACCTGCAAATAATAGCGTTCGATCTCAGCAAATCAATACAGAGTAAAACATATTTTTTAATCACTTATTTTCATTAAACCACACTTTTTCTTTTGTTTACTATCTCGCTTACTTTATTAGGTACCATTTGGATTTGTGCGAGAGCCTTTTTGGTAAAGGTACATATCCTGAAGTTGATGCAACAAACCTCTACTATGGAGGCCATAAAATCGCGGGTATGTGAGATATTAAAACCTTCTAGATCCTTGTTTTTAGATCTTGCCGTATTGTGACAAAGTTTGTGAAATCTACAGCAACCAAAATCATTTTCACAAATGGGTCACAAGATCCATGGCGTCATGCTTCCAAACAGACCTCATCTCCTGAGTGTAATTCTATATTAACTTAGCTTTTAACTTCTGTACAAATTTGTGCATTTTTCTGACAAATTAAAGTTGCAGTGCCTTCTTATATTATGGAGTGTCATAACTGTGGCCATGGTACTGTTCTACGAGGATGCCCTCAATCTCCAATGGTCATTGAAGGTATAAATTAAAGAACTTGTACCTTGTGCTCTTAAAAGTCAACAAGATGTTAAAAGATCTTTCTTTCTAATTTTTCAGGTAAATCAAATAATTGCAGCTCAGCAGATGTTGTAGACAAAGTGAGGCAACAGATGGTAGAACATATCGATTTGTGGTTGTCTGAATGTCGCGGATCTACCAGGAGTTCTAAGTAACGTTGCATCATATAAGTAAACAAACTACAGGATACACATTTTAGTCTTTACTACTGATTTCAAACCAAATATGAATGGAAATTGTTAGCCTGAAGTAGTAAATATATTTGAAGCAACTTAGTATTTACTCTGTGCGTCGTTGTTGAAAAGGAGGTTATGACTTATTTAACTTATAACAAAGGTTGCCATGTCACAACTTACAAGGCTTTTAACAAGTTGATGGTACCACCACCATGCCTCGTTTGCAATAATAATTGTTTTGGTCAATATTTTAGTGTAGACACTGGCTTTGTGTGTTCTAAAACGGCGTCGTTTTGTTTAGTTTCCTTTCTGACAAGTGTACTTTGATTGATCCAACGGTAGTCGTTTTATTTATTCTACTTGTTTGAATCAAAGAGACAACGAGAGGAAACTCGCTCGCTCGCTCTCTTCGCTTGATTTAGGAACTTTTTTTTGTTGATTGTTTTTTTTCGATTGAAAAAATACATTCTCTGATTTGGTGATGGTGGAAGCAACGTCGAATCTAACGCCGTCGCAGAGATACGCGGCAAGCGCATTGTTCGCGATCGCGCTAAACCAAGCGCAGATCAGCCAGACAAAGCCACTCGCCATCTCCACCACCGATCACGATCACGGAGGAGAGTCTGAGCATCTCCTAACCAGCGGCGGTGATTCAGTCTCCGAGGACGCTGATCTCTGGGTCCACGAGGTTTCCGGCTTGCTCCGACCCGTTTTCAGGTGATTCCCTCTGAGACGGCACCGTTTTGTGTGATATATGATATCACTACGACTAAACTCATTTGGAATCGTCTCTGTCATTTGCTTTTCAGAAGTCTACAGATAGATTCCTCAGCTTGGCATGGCATCGAGGAAATTGCTGCTTCTTCTCCGGCTAAGCATCACATTGGTTCGGTAATGACCAATTTCCCTCCGTATTTTTCTATCACACTGGATGTTATGTTTTTTTTTGTTTGGTCCCGGGTCAGTTTTTTTTTTTTTTTTTTAGTTTTTTTTGCTTTTTTCGGTTCTACCTGTATTAGAACCTTTCGGATATGAAATTTGGTTCTGTTATTTTGGTTCGGTTGGCGTGACAAAGTTGGGAACCAGCTTGAAGAAAAATTTCGATTCCGGTTAGGTTCCATTTTCCGATAATAATTTGGATAAAAAAGTGTTAGATCATTTGAGTTTTTCATACTAAATATCAGGTAATTTGAGGTTTTTGGATAAGAACATCGGATAATTCAAACAATTTAATTTTTGGATACAAAATATTCGGCTAGTCTGGGTTTTTGGCACTGTTTTGAAACATAACGCGGATCCGCGCCAAAATTAAAAAAACCTGCAAAAACTCACTAAAACCCAAAATCCGATACCCGAATGAACCACCGGTTCAACCAATAGATAACTTTTTTTTTTTAGTTTTTAATTATATTTTGGATTTTGTTTTATATTCTAAATTTTCAGTTAAGAAGTTAACTTTTTACTTTTCAGTTTTATATTTGTGATTTTTAGATTTGATAAAGATTTTACTATGACACCCGAAAAGAAATGAAGTAAACGATGGTAGAAAAAAATCAAAATTAGTTGATGTGATTTGGTGTTATTATATTTTTGTTATTGAGAATTTATTGTAATGATATTTTGTTTTTGGTTTATTTTTTAATTTATTATTCACGTTAGATATTTAAATATTTTTGAACTTTGCGTCTTTATTTTTATTTACATGTCATAACTCTAACTTGTTACAAAAAAATTAAGTAGTATAAACTATTTTTGATATTTTGTATGTTAAATAAAAACAAAAATATAAGACTAAAGTTAAGTACTTTCTAAATGTTTTTAAACATAAAATATATACATATCCAAACAATTATTGTATGTTTTTTTTAAAAAAAAAAAGAAAATATTAAATTTTATTTTCTTAATTTATATATTGTTATATAATAAATTAATTTATTTATTAATCCGCGGTTCACCCGGGGTCGACTCAGTGACCTAGTAACCCGATAAGTCATCCGGTTCAGTGTCTGGATCGGGTTTAAAAACATTGGTTTTTGAATGATTCGGTTTTAGCTAGTATTTTTAGGGTATTAGATTATTTTAAAACTAAATAGAACTAATATTTTAGATATTTGGCTATCAGTTGAGTTATTATCAGTTCGGTTTCAGTTCTATAGGTAGGTATAGAAACTGTTTGGTTATTTATGAACATTTGTTCGATTTTGGCTTTGTTTTTATGCCCAGGGTTAGTTGATGAGGTAAGTCTTCTTCATTGTCTGTTAAATTTTTGTAGCTCATCAAGTTACTTTCGGAAGATACGAGTGATGATAATGATATGGCGGAGAAAGAGACCGCCTTAGCTAAAGCTGCTGAAGCTATGGTTCAAGGCATTAAGCAAGGTTCTGTATCTGTGGAAGCTAAGAAGGAAAAGCATTTGGAATACGAAAACGAATGCCGTGAGAAGTATTCCCTTCGAGAGGCTCAGTCTGGTGCTGCAGATAATAAGGATACAGAGACTCACGGGGAAAATGTAGTCAAAGATCCTGACATTGATGAATATGGGAAGCCTGTTGAGGAAGCAGCATTGCTTAGCCATGAGAGGAAGATAAGTGTTCTGTACGAGCTACTTTCTGCTTGCTTGGCAGATAAACACGAAGATAAGGAAAAGTGTACACGGAGTAGGAAAGGCTATGACGCACGCCACCATGTTGCTCTGCGCTTACTTGCAACTTGGTTTGATTTTCAGCCGATTCGAATGGTGTGTTTGAACTAAACCCTTTCAAATTTTATATATCTTGTTGAGGATTTACATTGGCATGTATGAGAGATTATAAATATATTCATACGCGGAAAACTATTTTCATGTATTGGTAATTTCTAGGAAGGAGTTGAGAAAATGGCTGTATGCTCTGCCATGGCATTGAAAAAGTCAATCGAAAATAAGGAAGAGGAGTCTCTGTGTCCAAATAGTGAATGGGATAAATGGAAGCGTGGAGGCATTGTTGGAGCGGCTGCTTTGACAGGGGGTACTCTGATGGCTATCACTGGCGGTACGGTGTCTCTTAAGCTGTTTGTATCCCTTCCCACGTTTTGGAAACTATAAGAGTTTGGATTTAGAAAATGCAATGTCTTAAATTGTTTTGGTTTACATATTACGTGAAACAGGATTGGCTGCTCCAGCAATAGCTGCAGGGTTTGGTGCATTGGCACCAACACTAGGCACTCTGGTTCCTGTAGTTGGAGCCAGTGGGTTTGCTGCAGCTGCTAGTGCTGCAGGAACTGCTACTGGTTCTGTTGCTGTTGCAGCATCCTTTGGAGGTAAAATAAAGACTATACCACAGTTTTTCTGGCTTTACCCAAAGATGACAGTGGATAAAAGTGTCGACCATGTACCAGATTTATCTTAAGCCTTGCATCTGAATGTGTTCATGATCAGCTGCTGGAGCTGGGCTCGCTGGGACTAAGATGGCGAGGAGAACTGGAGAAATTGAAGAGTTTGAGTTTAAAGCTATTGGAGAAAATCATAATCAAGGAGTGAGTTTACATTTCCTTCTGCTGCTAAATCACTTTTGTGTTGGGGCTAATCATTTATTGTCTATGTTGAAATCTCTTTGCTTGGCAGTTGCACTATCCAGATAACGTCTTGTGTTTTCTTTCTTTAATTGATGTAATAGCGATTAGCAGTGGAGATCTTAGTTGCTGGCTTTGTTTTCAAGGAAGAAGACTTTGTAAAGCCCTGGGAAGGTTTAACTAGCAACTTGGAAAGGTATTAACATGAGTTGTTGTTCTAACTGTGTACATTTTTCTGGTTGATCCTAACTATAATTGCTTGCTAGGTACACGGTGCAATGGGAATCTAAGAATCTTATTGCTGTGAGCACTGCAATTCAGGATTGGCTTACTTCAAGTAATATAGATAGCCAACCTACCTTTCTGTTATTCCCCTGAAAATAAATAGTAACAGCGACATGAAATTGTTGCAGGGGTTGCTATGGAGTTGATGAGACAAGGTGCAATGTATACAGTGCTAAGCTCGCTTCTTGCAGCAATGGCATGGCCGGCAACAATCTTAGTAGCTGCTGATTTCATAGACAGTAAATGGAGTATCGCCATTGACAGGTACAAATAAAAGATATAGTGAATGGAAATGCAAAGTATGATACGACAACCATCACTTCAACTAAAGTTTATAACTATCATCCTCGTATTATCCTGTTTCAGGTCAGATAAAGCAGGAATACTTCTAGCTGAAGCGCTTCGAAAAGGGTTACAAGGAAATAGGTATCAGATTTGTTTGTGAGGAAGCTATCCAATTTTTAAAAACGTCAGCAGGTTGAATTTTTGTTTTGGAATTACTTGTGGGGATATTTCAGACCAGTGACTCTCGTCGGTTACTCGCTTGGTGCGCGTGTCGTCTTCAAGTGCCTCCAAGCTCTGGCCGAGACAGAGAAAAACGGTATATCTCTCTCACTAGTTGTGTTTTCTTTCAAAGTTAAGTCTTTGTCATAACATTATTTTTCACGACAGCTGAGATTGTGGAAAGAGTTGTTCTTCTTGGAGCCCCAATATCAATCTATAACGAGAACTGGCGAGACGTAAGAAAGGTAAAATATCTTCTGCATTCTAGGAAACAAATACGTTTGTGTTTTGTCTTTACGTGTCTTTTTATTGGTTACCTTAGATGGTGGCAGGAAGATTCATCAACGTTTACGCCATAAATGATTGGACCCTAGGAGTTGCTTTCCGTGCAAGGTATTTATTTGTCACTTTGTACTTTTTTTTTTCTTTTATCAAATGTCACTTTGTACTTCAATTTCACCTGCCAATCCAATTTTCTATTTAATCTATATTTTTTTCGCAGTTTACTGACTCAAGGATTAGCTGGAATCCAGCCAGTCTGTATCCCGGGGATCGAGGATGTACATATCCTTTTCTCCTTGTTTATATATTTTTTATTTCATGTTAATTTGAATGAAAGATAGATTATACTAATCACCATCATCTTCATCATTACCTATCTAAAAACCCTGAAATTGCAGGTGGATGTAACCGACATGGTGGAAGGTCACTCATCTTACTTATGGAAAACTCACCAAATCCTGGAAAGACTCGAACTCGACAAGTCTTACCCTGTTTTCCGAAAGACTCTATAACTAAGACCTAACATTTGTCATGATTTTATTTATTATTTATAGTTGCATTCTGAATCTCTGATGATGGAAAAATGAAGCATCCCCCATGTGTAAAAAAACACAATTTTAATTTAAAAAACAGATAAAACAAGATATTAACAGAGAAAACAAAACATATGACGTCGCTAATGTCTAGTTCACGGCTACCTATGTCGCTTAGAGTTAAAGCCCAAGCTGCGTTCCCGGACACGATTTTTCTGTTGATTTCATTAACCTTCAAGGATTGAAATTTGTTAGAGTGGTGGATTTTTCTCGCGATGTTTTCCTTATCGTCCAAGCGTGGTTCAGATCATGGTTCCATGCGGCCTAGCGTGAAATCTGGCTACATCATTGCATCTTATTTAATATAGAAAGTCATTTTTCTTAATTACTTTTTGAGATCAAGGACTTCTATCTATTTAGATATCACCACTTTGATTTTAAATGGAATCTCCAAACAAAATCTTAACAACATTTTGGTATATGACATTATTGGAATATACTGAAATCTCATTGTTTAAAGTTTCTTAATCGATTCTCGATTAGGTTGAATTTTTATTATTTTATTTTATATTGTGTGGTAAAGTGTTTTGTCCAAAGGATATGCACAGAGAGTTTATGTTGTCGTACGATGTTGGAATTATTTTCATTTCTTAAGTAAAATAACTTGTGATAAAACTTACTAAACAAAACAAACCAAAGCTCAAAATCAAAGAATACTAACTAACCTTATTAAAAAGAGAGATGAAAAAAATTCCTAAAATGAAAACTAAATCCCCAAAGCAATTCAGACACTTGAGTCGCCGGAAAGTGTTTCCTCCTCCTCCGGCAAGAAGTATCTATTCTTCACCCACAAAGAGTCAGCGATAACCGGCTCGTCGTCTTGGTTTCTATGCCAAGTGTAAAGTGCGTGAGTCCTGTTCTTTATCTCTAGAAGAGCATGTCCGAAACTTGCCTCCCTAAAAGCTGAGTAACTCGGTTGCGGGTACGTATAACTACATGAAAAACAAATCATCTTTATCAAAGAAAAATAAAAAGCTTAAATGGAATGCTATATATATGGTTTTTTTTATTACTCATTAGCGATTCCTTCAATGTTGCCTCCATCTCCAATGGTGATGTAAATAGGAGCAGATGGATTTTTCACTGGAGAACTCAAACCATCAGTGATATTGTATTTAATGTTGGAGACACGCTCTGATCGCTCGTATGCATGAACATGACCAGCGAAGACAATATCGACTTTGTTTTGAACGAACCATGGCTCGAACGTTACTCTCATGCTTTCACCTTCCATATAGTGATAACCGTTGCTGTTGTACCACGGCGAATGAACCAGAACAATCAACCATGGAGTCTCTTCTCTGTTTACTTTCTTGAGCTCACTCTCGAGCCACGAGTTTTGCGGTGTATACTTGTCTATATTTCACAAGAACATTAATTAAATGGTAAATAGTAATTGAAATATTAGAGTGTGAGAGTGTTAGATCGTTACCAAAAGCTGAGTAAGAAGAGAGAACGATGATGTGTGCTGAGGCTCGTTTTATTGAGTACCAAAGTGGCGAAGTACTCTTTGAGGCTCTGTAAGGAACGTGGTAACGGTTTTTGTATGGCTTGAAAGCCTGAGTCTCGCCCTGCAAAGACATTAATCGGTTTAAACAATCAAGAAAATACTAGTATTATTTTATGGAAAGATATACATATAGGATCTTACTATTGACGGTGCATAATCTATTTCGTGGTTCCCTGCAGCCCAGATCCAAGGCTGATACGCAGAGCTCGGCTCCACAAATCGACCATAAGAATCCCATTTTCTTTGGTCGTGGTTTGGGTGGTCATCGGCATAAGACAAGTCTCCAACAAAAAGAACAGCTTGGCCTTTAGGGTTAGACATGTAATGATACAATGTCTGGTTAGAGGCATAGGTTTGCCCTAGATCGCCTATAAAAAAAATAAAAAGAGATTATAGTGTTTGAAACTATATCCAAAACCCTAAAATTCGTTTTTGAAACAAAAAAAATGAATCTGTGGGTTACCAATGACGCCAAATGTGTAGGGAACATCAGGACCGACTTCTGGGGGAGTCGTGAAGGAGAATCGTCTAGTGGAACGACCGGTTCCAAGCTCGTAGAAATACTTAGTATCATACTGCACAAGGAACAAGACAGGTTCGTTTATTCAAGAAAAAAAATTAAAAAGATTGGTTAAAATGTGAGAAAATGTAAACCTCAAGCCCTTTAATGGTGGCGTGATGCAGAAAACCGGAGGTGTAGTCGTAGTATGTGTAGGACGACGTTGATGCTTCAGCACTCTGGTTTGTACTCTCATCACTATCCGCAATCCAGTATTTAACTACGTTAGAACCATCATCGTTTATAGGCGTAACCCATGAGATTATCATGCCGCGACCGTTGTGATCTCCTTGCGTTATATGAACCTAGGAAAGGAGAGAGAGTTTTCGTAAGTATCAGTAACAAAATATGTAAGAAATGATACGATAAAGAGAAATTCGAAAGTACTTGTTCAGGAGCGTTTAAGCCGGCAGGAGGAGGGAAGGTTTCGAGTGGCATCTCTTCGGAAGGTTCAGCTACTCTCGTGTACTTACTGGTGACTCCGGCATGGCCTAAGCCGGATATGCTTAGCAACACGACGGCTGAGCAAAAGAGTGATAAACGAAACATCATGCTCTGAATCTTTTTCAGTGCAAAATTGCTAAAAAAACAAATTTTACTTTGTAAATGTTTGTTATGATGTGGTCGATATATATTGACTAAATTGAAGTATATTCTATCTAAATGCTTCTGAAAAGATTTTATTCCTTATTCAAAATAAAAACAAAAAGATTTTGTTCCAACGTAATGAACTAATAAAATATTATGTTTTTTTTTTTGGAACACCCATAAAATATTATGTTTACCTCTAAATATTGTGAAGATACATATATCACAAGTGATCGCACAAAAATAATGTTCACAATTAATTTAAGATAATAATGCTTGGTCATTTTCTTTCAAAATCTATACTATTAAAGCAGAATCCCTATTAGGATTCTCACCCTTACTGTTTTCAATTAATTACATTGTTATGCCACTGGAATTTAGTTTTAATATCTATATTATTTATTAAAATTACACAACAGAATTTTTCCTATATTTTTGGCAACTAATATTATCCATATTTTGTAAATAATATAATTCTAATTTTATGCAAATAATAATTTCCATTAAATTTGAATATTATTTTTCGTGTTTAGTATTATTAAACAATCAAATTTGAATATATATATATATATATATATATATATGAAAATTTAAATAAAATATTATTTACTTTGTCATTTTTACATTATACTAATATGCTAATTTTGAACATTCAAAAATATATTAAAACTTATCATAAAATCAAAACTTTACATCTAAAATAAACAGTAATAACTTTCATAAGTTATTAAAAGTGAAAAAAATAATATTGTCATATCAATAAATTTTACTTTTTATATTACCGTTATTTATTTTTTTAAATAACTTAATAAAAAATTCATTAAAGTATATGATATTACAATTTTTAAGTCTTATTATGCATTATTTAATCAAAATATTATCATTTTTTTGGTTTTCAGCAAATCATCTAACATTGGATCACATGTTAATAACAGGTTTTCGACTTTTACAAGGTTTTATTTAATTTTTAACTATTGACCTTTTATTAAATCTGAACCAGATTAAACAAAGATAGCCGGATCTATCAGTTCAACCACGGTCTGAAGCGAATATGAAAACATTTCCTGAAAATTATATATAATAGAATTTTTTTTTTGAAACACAAAAATACAAACTTTAAAATTTTTTATTTTTAATAAAATTTATAAAATCAATCAAATTTTATCGAAATTGTAAAACATGAATAGAAATAACTCTAGACACTAGACGGCTCGACAAACTTGACTTCCTAGACAGGACTCGACCCGACAAGACTTAACTAAGGACCTTTGAGAGTACAAACGAAAAATCCACTACATGATGAGTTGATAGCATTTTTTTCAGCCTTGATCGAGTCATTGTTAATAGCTATCAGATTTACTCGGCCAGGAGGTGGTCATGATGAGTTGGTAGCAATTATATGAAAACATTTCCTGAAACTTAGATATAATAGAACAATTTTTTTTTGAAACACAAATATACAAACTTTAAAATTGTTTATTTTTAATAAAATTTATAAAATTAATCAAATTTTATCTAAATCGTAAATATATCTCCGCGCTTTTAAAGCGCGGGTCAAAATGTAGTCAATACTATTAAAACAAAATCCCATATAGGATTTTGTCTTTAGTTTTTAGTGATAATTACAATCTCATGCCACTCATTAATTTTAATATTTCATTAATAATTAAAATCATTTCTTCTATTTTCTACTTATTTAACATGAAAATATCAAAACAGGATTCACCACAAATCACTCCGCTCTATGTTTCCTTTTTCATTAAATACTAATCAGTAAGCAAATAATTAACTTTTCTTTCTGTTAAATTCATCAATTTCACTAACCTAGAATTTGGTTTTTCTCTGGTTGTTGGTACTGCAATCTAGACATCTTAGTGGTCAGGTGAAAGAGACAAAAGATGAATTTTGTGTTTTTTTATTATTCGTGAGTAAGCATTGTTTAAAAAAAAAAATTGTGTTGCATAGATTTTGTGTTGAATCTATGATAAAGTACTTAGAAATTGCTTTAAACTAAAACATCTAATTCTTTGATGTCTCCGCCATGAACACCAACGAAGTTATGGTTCAATACGTCATTAGCGAGAAAGTAAGAAAAAAACTCTGTGTATTTCTCTGTTCTTTCTCATCTAATCTGATTTTGAATCTCAGTTGGCTAACTTCATCCATTTCATTTCATGGAGACTTCTGTATCTGGATTTACAAGGGTTTTATGGCGATTTGGAGACTTGATTAGCGACTTGCGGTGGTTACATTAATAACTGTCATCGTGGAATCCACATAACAACTCTCTCTCAGCTCTCTAACAAAAGTCAAGAGTCTCT